ATGCTTGTACTGTGTATATTTGTCCTTGGATGTAATCTGTTCCTTGAAGCTGAGAGTTTCCCCTGAGCGTAGCTCTTGGAAAACTGTTCACATCTTGGAACAGATAATGTCCAAAGACATTTTGTGCCAGAAAGAGGCTATTGTTTATATATTCATAAGAGCCTTGGTCAAGTCATAATTTTTTTTAAGGTAACTTTGGAGCTGACCAGGAGAGAATTAACCATCATTACCTTTTATTTCTTTTAAACCCTAAAATATCTTATTCACTCAGTTGAAATCCTTGAGGTTCTCCTTTTGCTAAATGAAACAACTTATGGGAAAGTTTGGCAAACACAGGGAAATTATGAAGGTTTCGAGCTGAAGGCGAGTGTTTCACCGGCTGTTTGAGTTTATGTTTAACAAGCACCTGTACCCAACACGTTCTCGCATAAAGTAAGGATCTCCTTAGATTTACCTGACTAAACTGGGCCTGCTTTCCCTTCTCCCCAGCGGCAGTGTGGTCAAAAGAAACGCTATCTTCGCGTTCTATTTCTGCGAACTTAGAAGTAGGAGAAGGAATTTCTGCTACGGTCACGCTTCCACGTTTTCCTGGAAATGCAAGGTATGATTGACTTAGTAATTGCACGTTTATTTTGAGGCCTATTTGGAGAAGGGTAGGCTTACGAATGGCAGAAGAAGGACTTGACAAAAGGGAGAAGTGGCTCAGAGTTTGCTTTGTTTCCTCTTGTACTGTAGTGATCATCGGACATCCTGTTTATTGTCATGTAAGATGCATTAGAAAATATAGCGTGAAGGACATGCAACTGACATGTAACAATTGGCACCACAATATACTGCTGACACTAATATCTTGTTGCGTATCTTGCAGGTTTTTTCAAGTTATCATCATTACATTAAGCTCAAACTACATTGGTGCTGTCAAACCACCGGGAAGATTTACAACACAAGACATGATGACGTATGAAGAAGCGCACAAATCTTCTGTTCCTGCTGCTTATGTCGCTTTTCAGTTTAAAGGAAATAGTTTTGATAAAAATCAGGAATTTGTTATTGGAGATAGAACGCAATCCAGTGGTAAAGAGAGTAGTAAGAGAAGTAGTGGTGATCAGTATTATTACAACCAACCACTGCAGCGGAATACAAACTACAGAGTGTTCCTCAGGGCTTTTGTTTCCGAGGTATCCTAACAAAGCTTTTATCCCTAGAAAGGGATTTTCTATTCTTTCAATGTAAATACTGAGTGACAAATCTGACTCATCCACTTCTTCCAGGTCTTCTTCTCGGGTGTCTCCCAAGCTCCCCCCGCCAACACTATTATGTTATCGTTGTTTACTAGCTCTTTTGATCTTAGTGAATGCATTTCTATAACAGCAGCTTTGAGCAGGCTTGNATATATATTTTTTTTTTATCGGTTTTTAATAGGTTTTATAACGATGATGTTAGTTTTTAGTTATAATGTTAGATTTTGCTTCTATTTTATTTACTAATTACCTCATGGGCTAAGCTGCGGCGCCTCATGTTGCTTTTATTGTATCTGGCAAACAGACATTTTCACTGCATCATAACAACAAAATTTATAAAGCGCCACTTCCATTTAGCCCAATGGCGCTTTACAATAAAAAAGAGAAATAGAAAAGTAAATCTAACCTAATAATGATAAAAAAATATATTAATACATGATTTAAGAATATCTAATTATGCACTAATAAACACACATGAATCTCTGGCAAGGTCCATATCCACTGCTGAAAAAAAAATTATCATGATATTGTACGTAAATCTACTGTATGTGAATTCTAGATAAATCTTGTGAAATCGAAAATGGATAGATAAAAGTATAATGAATAATTAGAAGGATCCTACCATATCTACTATGTGTCAATTCTAATAAAATTTTATGAAATCAAAATATTCTAATGGATAAATGAAGGTATAATGAATAGTGATAAGGATCCTATTCTATGTATAAATGTACATTTAATGTCTCCGATTAAATGCTTCGTTGAATAGAAAAGAAGGTGATCCAGTAGGAATTGTGGAATTCCATACATGTAGTAGAGAGTTGCAGCTATTGAGCTTGCTGGAGATAAAAGCATGGATCAAAATTTCAGTGTCTGATTTCGACAGACAGTTTCTTATTTTCGCTATATTACGTACTGAAATGATAAAACGATGATTTGCATATGTGTGCGACGTGCTTCTCCAGGGAGATGTTCTGATCAAAGATAGCAGCAATATTTCGTGCAGAAAAAGAGCGCTCGACTGGATTCGTGTTTACTTTGATGTAGTCAATCATTGGTGGAGGACGGTGTTGTGCATTCAGTACAAAAAACTATATCTTTTTCCGATGTAGTTTAAGCTTATTTTGTACCATCCCTGAATCGATCTCGCTAAGACATGCCTCATTGCGTGCTATGTGGGCTTGTTGCTCACCGGGTATGGGTTTGAAAGCAAATAAAGCTGTGTCGTCTGCGTATAAGGGATATCTCAGCCAATGACGCTTAATGATGTCGCCAAGTGGGGTGAGGCAGACTCTCTGATGAGCAACCAGACCCGCTCGGGAGCGGCAGATCCTGTTACAGCGACTACATCTATAACCTGATGTTGCAGTGGAATGTTATCTTTCATGAAGGCTTCAGCTCTTGAATGAACAAAGTGTTTAATTTTACGATAAAAGTCGGTTTTTCCCGACGCTAAAATGTCAAAATGATCCGATTTAATGTTGTGACCAGTGGTCCCTTAATGTCAATGTTAATTAATAGTTTGAAGTTGTTGTTATTTTAGCCAGTACTTCTCATTAGTCTAGACATGTTCTGCCGTAGATTCTTTTTTGTCCCAGTCTAGGTTCCAGACCTCTTACATTCACTATATATAGCTTTCAACAATTGTGACGGTTCACTTTTGAAAATGTGTTGACTAGCATACGAAACGTCAAGTTCTATATAAAGTACATTGGAATACAATGTTTATCACCGCTGTTTGTCTTATTTTCTTAATCAATAAAAGTCAGTTTTTCCCGAGGCTAAAGTGTCAAAATGATCCGATCTAAGCTTAACTATATACTCATTCTGTCTATGTAATCTGTTGGAGAGGAGACGCATAGATGACGTCACATCTTGCTTCTTTGTTGTCTAAAGCAATTGGATTCCCCGTTGCCGTGTCTGTTTTGTAATAAGTCACAGAAGATGTCAAAATGTGGTAAGAACGTGAGTGCCACACTCGGCTGCAATTCGCGTACCACTGTTTTGTCCTGACTGCATTTTGACGTCCTCTGTGACCAAAAACGGAACAGACGCACGGCAACATCCAAACAGTACTTCGGTTCGTGACACACTTCTTGCTCTAGTCTGGCTAAAAGAAGCGATGAGTAATNTTAGCAAACCTCCCAAGTGCATCCATAACTCAATAGAGTACGCTGTGGTGTTTACCATTTGTTTTATACCATAACATTGATACATTGTAGCTAAAGAGTTCCCTTTTATTCAACAAATCTTACGTGACCAGAAAAAACAAGCAAGCGCGGAAAAATAGTCTTTGCATTTGCTCACGTCAGCAGCGTACACCCATAGGCAAATGGGGGACGCTAAATTGACCGATCAGAGCGGGCGCTTTACTTTGGTTATGTTCTAAATACCGTTAGAGTCGGTGTTACAGAATGAAAATATGAATTCGAATTAAGGTGTATTCTGAACCACCAGAAAAATAATAGCTCTGTCACTCATAAATTACCTTTTAAAGACGAAAATTTCTAATTTTTAGTCGTTTATTGGACGTTGGCAGTGTTTTCATTGTATTTTTATGAACAGTAAATTATTTTCAGCTGTAAAAGCAATATCTTGCTTTGCTCTCTTTAAAGAATCTGAAAATAGCCAGGTTACCGAATATTATTGCTGGGTGTTTGTAGATAACAAAAGGGAAGATGATCGAGTATTTTCACTCAAGATATTTTTTAGATTGCAAATTATTTTAATATAGGAGAAAATGCTGGGAAATATTGTCGCAAGGCAATAAGATCTAAATAGGTTCTAAATGTAAAGAAGCAGCAGAACAGTTGTAGATGGTAGAATAAAATGGTTTCACGAAAAGAAGTGTCTCATCGCGGTACACCGTCTTTTTTTTTAAACCAGACAAAGGCAAACCTGCCCTTATTCGATGTACATTTTTAGCCAGGCTTATCGCAGAGCTTCAGTTGCTTAAATATTCACCACACATTTACTCGTCTTGCGTTTTGCCCTTAACGCAGCCTGGAACAAAACGCCGTCGCGAATTCGGAAGTATTGTCATCCCGTCATGTTCTTCATACCTAATTTTTGACTTTTGATTAGGTATCCCATTTTCTTAATTATGGGACTTTGCATACGCGCTTAACGCAATCGGCACCACTATAGGAAAACTGCCACGCGGAGGACTCTTTAACTTGAGCTGATTATCGACAAAAAATTTAAATTTGTTGTGTGAATACCCTCGACGTGTCTTGATTCAGTGTAGATTAAAGTGCGCAGAGGTTCTCATGGGCTATATACTGCGTTGTGTCATTAGCATATACACGTATACAGGGAAGAAGATCCAGCTGAGTATTTGACATCATTCACAAAGATCTTAATGAGCTTAAGATCCGACGACGGCAGATATCTGGGACGGCAGACTTGGCCGAGGGGAATTGAGGAGAGGTCGCCGTTGCATTGGCACGAAAAATAGCCTTAAGATAGCGCGCGCGACAGCGGCTGTCCTGGCTTTCCTCATCGAAGTTTAGGAAAACCATTAATTACCTTTAGAGAGGCTTGTAAATTGTTGATGGCAAGTTTCGATGGTGACATTTCAGAAGATGAATTTTTACTGTTGTATGATGCCAACATTTCAAAGAATCTCGATTATCTCTACCAGAATTACGAACATTTTGACTTGGAATGACTCGACGGAAGGGAGTGCTTGGCAGAATTTCGCTACCGAAAAAGCGACATAGCTATTCTCACAAACGTAATGGGGCTGCCTGATTCGTATATTTATGAACAAGGGACTGTATGCGATGGAATTGAAGGGCTTTGTCTTTTGTTCATTAGATTAGTATTACCCTTGTAGGTAGAGTGACCTTTTTAAACATGGGAAAAATTTGAAACACAACACAGACATGTATGCAAAGCAGCATAATGCAGGTATAATCTTATCATGATGATAAATGTTTAACCAATTTCCCGCAGCAAACTTTTCACGCTTAAACAAGGACGTTTTCTATGGCCGAGAACACATTACCGGAACTGTTCATTATAAAAATTTTCTCAGATGAGCCTTGTTGTCAAACCCGACAAAAGACAAATGGAATAACGTCACCGCTATCAATTTCTGCCCGATAAAGTCTACGAATTTTTCATTGAAATAAAGAAAAATAGTGAGATTGTAAAACTTATTGCGTTGCTTTCTTTGTTAACATCGAGCCAGTACTAGTGACGAACAGTGTTTTGAGAAAGACAAACGAATAAAGTTAAAGTTTCCTCGAACAAATCGTTTATTTTTTGCTCAGCTATTTCACAGACATCCTCTCATAACAATAAACTGTTAAAATGGTCAACAATTTTCGCTCAAAGCAAGTTAAAATGACGTTATTTTGCTAAAGTTTACTCACGTTTTAGTCGCGACGGCAAAATGGCTTTCTTCACGTCACAGACAACGCCGCTACGGCGGGAAACTTCACAACGACGGCAGCCGGAAGTAGTTCAGGCAGTAACTTCACTTCCACTTGCAGTCTAAGAAGTCTGCCGTCGTCGGATCTTAAGCTCATTATTAAAAAAAGCGCACCTAGAAGGCTCCTTTGCGGCACTCCATAGAGAAGAGGCAGCGGCCAGTCTGACACCTTCCCGTTACATTTTGCTCGTTCAAAGCGGCCTGACAGATATGACTGAGGAAGCTTTAGGGCAGAATTGTGAACGCCGTAAGCATTCAGTTTTGCTAGTAATAATTTATGACAAATCGAGTCAAACACTTTGGATGGGTCAATAGTGACCACCGCCACATCCTTTTTGTTGTCAAGAGCCTGGCGCCAATCGTCAGTTATTATTAATAAAACGGAACAGCAAGAATACCCACGCACGAACCCTGACGTATTGTCCGAAAAGACTGGTGTGAATACGTTGTATTAATTGATTACATTTTAGTTTCTCAAACACCTTGGGTTCAACTAACAAGACACTAA